TGTCTGTGTCTGTCTGTCTGTCTGTCTGTCTGTCTGTCTGTCTGTCTCTGTCTGTGTCTGTCTGTGTCTGTCTGTGTCTGTCTGTCTGTCTGTCTGTCTGTCTGTCTGTCTGTCTCTGTCTGTCTGTCTGTCTGTCTGTCTCTGTCTGTCTGTCTGTCTGTCGGTCTGTCTCTGCCTGTCGGTCTGTCTCTGCCTGTCTGTCTGTCTCTGTCTGACTGTCTGTCTTTCTGTCTGTCTGCCTGTCTGTCTGTCTCTGTCTGACTGTCTGTCTTTCTGTCTGTCTTTCTGTCTGTCTGTCTGGTCTGCTCTGATCTTTCTGCCTGGTTTTCCTCTCAGGAGGAGCGCAGGCAGCTGTCCAGCATGTTGGGCTGTGAGATCTCCTCCATGCTGTGCGTGCCGGTGGCCAGCAGGGCCACGGGTCACGTGGTGGCTTTAGCCTGCGCCTTCAACAAGCAGGGTGGACAGAGGTACGTACGTCCAAAACCTTTTTGGTTGTGTTGTGTGTCCATTCCACTCAGGTTACTCCTTAGTGCTAAAATACGCTGAAATTACTTGCCTGTCAGTCTGCAGCTTGATGTGGCTTCTCCCTTTCTGGTCAGCTCTTGACTCCGGGCTGATCGAAAGATTTAAATGACAGTGACTTATGGAGCCTGACAAGTTGAGCCAAGCAGCTTCGATTCTACGGTTTGCTGTGGAATCTGCAGCTTATTGGGCTAAAGGATATTCAATAAGAGATAAAGAGGAAAACTGAAAGCCAGCAGCAGAGGCTTGGGAGCTTTAATGGAAGCTGCACACACAAACTATATGTTCCTTAGCAGGGATGTCATTCTGAGGGTTTTCTTTTCTTTATTTATTTATTTAAAAGTAAATGCGAAAAACTGGTGGAATGACATATATTATTAGAACTGAGTTAGATTTTTTAGTAAAACCCATAATAAGACAGCAACATTGGTCAATAATATATGCAAAATGAATTAAAGAATAAAGGACATCACAGGATAAGTGAATGTCAGGTTTTAACAATGTGGAAAAGATTTGTGTCATCTTTTTTCTGTTATTTTTTTTCTTTTTTTTTGTATTTGCTGCTTCCAAGTGTCAAAACTGTCTTCTAATCTTTTAAAGCAGTCTAGATCAGTAGTTCTTTGGGCTTTTAGAGGGGTTTTCCAAGTTTTTTCTTGTTTGTTTGTTTTTTTTACTTTGGCTGCTGTTTCACTTACCAGTAACTAACATTATCAGAAATAAGGATTCATAAAGCTACTTAACGCAGATCTTTAAATCATTCCAACATTAGAAAAGTCTCCTAAACTCAAGGACAGACAGCTTGGAGGAGCAACAGTTTTAATTGGATCATTAGGCTCTTTGTGCAGGAGTCTGTCACAAAAACACATTTTATTTGTAGTTGAATTTATGAGCAGCGCCACAGATAACACAGTTTGACACATGAAATAGAATTAGAGGTGAGTCTCAAAGAGCTGTTGGCTGAAAACTGGACATAAAGCAGATGATCAACTAAAGCAGTGATTCTCAACTGGTGGTCCGTGACCCAGGAGTGGTTCACTGTTTTCATATTTGAAAGTCTTTTTGAAATGACTTCTAGGTAGTTTTCCTTTCATGTTTGCATGTGATAGAAGTGAGTCTTTCAAAAAAGGCTGAAGTTACTGAAGTAAGGAGTTTTGGTTTTGAATGAAATGCAGCTAGTTGGGCTAAACAGGAAATATTTCCCCCTCTAGCACTTTGGTTTCTAGTTTACCATCGCAGGTTGAAATGGCACCATCTTTTCACTGAAAGAATTTGAGAAGTTGATTTTTTTTTAATCAAGACATAAAATAAAGGTGGGTCACTTTATAGTCTTTCAAAGACATGACTTTCAGATTCTGTCTCATCTACTGTATACGTCTGATATTTTCTGTTTCTTTTAAAAAATGTCCTCTATTTGTCCACATTTCATTTTCAAGCCCAACACTGCACAACGCATTTTCATTGGACACAGATTCTTGGGGATTAAATAAGTAAAGAAACAACCAAAGTACAAGAGCACATGTTTGAAAGTCTGAAAACTCTTGAAGACCACTTCAAAAGATCATAAGAAAGTCTGTCTCCTATGAAACCAGAATAAATAAATTGGTTTAAAACTTCCACACAGAGCTGTAAACACATTTTATTTGTCTGAAATGTGTGAGTAATGTCAGTGGCCCATGTAGCTGTTGCTGATTTGAACACTTTAAAGATATAACTACACACCTCTCTGATCAGTGAAATCAACAATAATCATTTCATATTATCTTTATTGTTTCAAGTTATATATTAAAGGTAAATGTTCAGCTTAAAGTGTAAAAATGTGTATGAGCAAACTGCAGCTCGCTCCACAGGTTATAAACATTCAACAGTGACAGTTAAATAGATCATCTGCCAATTTACATTACATCTTAATGATGGAAATGTTTAATTAGTTAAATCAGCTAAAGCTGGAAGAGTGTATTATGCTGTCAGTCTGTGGGGAGAGCACATAATCATACAACTCAGGAAAAATCAGGCTTTTCATTTCATGATTTTTTTCATTACACTTCATTAGACATTTTCTTTCTGGGCATTTGTTGCTTGTTCAATACTAAAGTTGAGAATTTCAGTAATCAATTCCCACTGGGATTTTAATCTATTTTAGAAATAATATCAGATTGTTTTCACCTGTTCATGGGTGTTAAAAAATATATATTTCTACATGTGCCCAGGTTCAGTTTCTAAGTATATTTGCTTTACTATGAGAGTACATAATTTTAATTTTTTATACCATATGTCCAGAAGTCCACCCTTCAGAGCTGCCAGCTAAACAGACTTAAAGCAGAAAACTTTCATGCTAACAATAATTGTGAAAAATCCTCAGCAGGTTGCCGATAGCCCTCCATCAGCAGTAGCTTTATACAGCCTGCAGCCCACACAGTCCAAGGTTTGCTTAATGTTTTAGTCCAAAAGGGCATCAAACATTTAATGAAAAGCATTTAGATCCCTGGTCGACTCTCTGAAAGCTGTGGTATTTCCACCGACTGTCAGGACTTCGACAGAATCTCCAGACTCAAAGTGCACCCCTGAACGGATACAACAGCTCTTTTAAACTCCAATCATCTCCTCTTTGTGTCGGCAAGCACAAACTGTGTGTGTGTGTGTGTGTGTGTGTGTGTGTGTGTGTGTGTGTGTGTGTGTG